ATTAATCATGATACCAATATTAGTACTAGCATTAGTACTGTAGACTGTTACTGATACTGTGATTGATGATGTAATATATTAAGATGTGATGAACTATAAAAGGATACATTGATACATATAATCAGTACATAAATTTCTTTATATGATTTACAGCATATCGTTCTCTTTTATCTTGCATTGATTTCAGTTGTAAGATTTTAATTATTTGCTGGGCTATTTACGCATTACATGATTTTATATATTTTTAGGATAAGATAATGATCCTATGATATGAGGCTCTGGACAACATGTATAATTTTTCCATTTACTGTTCCAGACAAAATGAAATCATGTTCTTTATGTTATTTATTAATGAGCTTTAGTTAAATTGTTAAAATAAATGGCTGTAATTCTTTTAATATAGATTCTGGAGAGAGAGAGAGAGAGAGAGAGAGAGAGAGAGAGAGAGAGAGAGAGAGACTCCATTTTGGACTACTTCGGGTTATTTTCAGATGTAGGACTAGTAAGAAAAATTATTTAGGCCGAGGAGGTTACATTTCGTCTATCTTAGTTTTCAATAATTTAGAGTTTTTTTTATTGAATTTTTAATTTGGTTTTACAAAAATACAATTTTGTTGAATTCTAGTAACTTTCATCCGCATAACTTTTGACATGTTATTGATACAACCGTTCTAGTCATTTTGAGTATTTATTCTAGATTTTTTACTAGATAATTTTAAAATGTAGTAATTTTTATCAATTCAAAATTTATTTTGATATCTTAAAATAGTATTTTAGTTCAATTAAAGCTTTAGAATTCTGTTATACACAATTCATGGCTTATGTGGCAGAATTCTAAAACCTTAGTTTGTGCAGCTATAGAATACCACATCATCATCTATACTTGAAACGAAGGGTGAACTTATTGGTCTTGTATTAGCCTCATTTGCATAAGAAATTATAATTTAAATCTTCTTTGGAGTAGTGGTCACATATAGGGGAGCTTGATGTTTAGTGAATGATGAAATTTCTTCAAAGAAAAAAATCCATATTATCTTATGTTATTAGCTTAGCTGTAGAAATTAAAGGTGCTTCATCAATGAGAGGTTCACCACCACTAGCTTTAAATTAATTTTTTTTTATCAAACTCTGCTTCTGTACATATAAAATAAATGAGGTTATTAAGAAAAATATTTCTCTATATCTTCAATCATTTACTCTATTTTTTAGTGACTATCCAATCTTCTTTTCACTCTCCTTCATACAATATAAGAATAACAATGCTTAATTCATCTATAACAAATACTTTGTAGTGTACAACTTCACTATATATATATATAGCCATGATATCTCTTTTTCTAATGATGTGAATCTCTTATTTTTTTCCATTGACTTATCTTCTTCCTTCTTCCCCTAACAAGAAGCACCACAACCAGCCATTGGATCTATATAGGATTATTCAATGTATAATAAGTTTCATGCTCTCAAAATAAATTTAATATTTTATGTGATGTTACAAAATTTAAATTAAATTAAGTTGAATTAATAATTATCTTCCGTATCCCAAGAATGATAAAATATTACCCTCTTTTTGAAACATATCCAAGAAGAGCATTATAAAATCTCAAGGCCCTAGGGGTTAACATTAGTTAATACTATTAGGCCAATATGATGCATAACTTATACACCTATAAAGGACTTGCATATAGAATCAGATGAAACTGATAGTACACATGTTAATTTTCTTACCTTTATATAGGTGTCTTCTGACCATAAATATTATAATGGTATGTCCCAATGCAAAGTCATATTATGCAACTTAAACATGATCAATTCAATTATCTAAAGTAATTTAATAGTCCCATGTTTGACTTTATTTTGGAACTTTTTCATAGCCTATAAACTAACCTCAATATATTTCCTCCAGTTATGAATTTCTAACATAGAAGAAGATATAACTAAAGAAACTCTCAAAATTATAAATTTATTCATAATATATAGAGCCTTTTATATCTCTATATTTTTCATAATAATCAATAAAAAATTACATAACACCGAGGACTATGTAATTATCAAAGTACTTATACCCTATATCACTTAGGATATTAAACTCATCCTCATTTTACATATATATCCAATATAAATTAAAGTCTTAACTAGTCATATCATCATATACCCTCTAACATAGATGCCAAGATGAACTATTCTACACTCATCCACTAACATGTACGTCCTCTTATTGATGTTTGTCTAATTGCTAATGGTATTGGTGAACACTTTTTTTTTTAAAGAGAGGTTCGAGAGGACACTCAAATTTATACATTTAGATGAGATATACTGGAAATATATTATATTGGAGTTAGTAAATGATGAGACATAAAGAGAAAATATATAAAAATTTAATAGAGATTTAATTTTTTGATCCAAAGTCTTACATCCACTTTCAAAATAAGTAAGAGAAAATATGAGCAATGTTGTTAACAACACACAATTGAGACATTATTGAGCTCTTAGGAACTTTCATGATAACTTTGAGATGAGCAAAAGAAGAAATACAATAAAATGTTACATTTGAGATGAAAATATAGTATATAATAATTACATCATATGGGAGGTGACAAATAAGAAAATTTTGTGGCATCACTTGAGCCTTTTATAGAAAGTTAAAGATCAAGTGGAAGACTTTGATGAGCTTTAAAAGAGCTATCAATACAATTACTAACCTTGGTCATCTTATTGAAAGCTTGAGAAAAGGTAAAAATTAGAATCTTGGATAATGATGCAAAATGCATAACAAAATAATTGATAGCTTAATTAGATTTTTAGGATCAATAACCTTTAATTACTCCAATGATGGTGCATTAATTATTCTAAATGAAATGGCATGTATATTGTGATGATGATGGTGTTATAGATCCCGAATGGCAGCAATATATAGATAATTGGGCACCTTAATAAAGTAGTAATATGCTTGGTGTGTGTGTGCGTGCGAGTGCGCGCGCCACTGTATAAGAGAGTTTTTAATTTAGAATTGTGAACAAGACAAAATGTGACAACATGATGAAACATGTGAGCTATTAATGGTGTAACAATTTAATGCATAGTCAAAGATGAAAAATAATAGTTGGGAAATATTTCATGACACATCAAGTCCTTTAGGAGTGGTAGATAGATTGGTGAAGTTTGTTCTCCTTTATATGATAATTTTTACTTGGTAAGTGCTCTTGCACTTACCTTAAGAGTAGTACTCCAAAATAAATGTGTATGATCCTCAGATTATATGGTGCTTTAAAGTAATGAGATAACCTATGCATAGTTGTTTTCTCTAAGACTTGCATTATTGTTGGATCTCTAAAAGGGCTTCTTTATAAATCACTATATGATCATCTTTCAATATTATTAGTAGCATATTAGAATGTCAGTAATTTCCTTTACTTTTTTTTTTAATGGGAAATTCATACACATTGGTTCTATAATATTTACTCCATCAAACTTTTTATCTCAAAGTTGATGGTCACAATACTATTAAATTTACTTTAAAAGTGATTTATTATAATTATAATATAAAAATTCAAATATAGAAGTATTACTAAGTATGAGTATGATGAAGCTATAAATAAACACAAAAGAGTTCAAAACACAAAAAATAAGGCAAATTATTTATGTTATTTAGTTTCAATCAAATATATGTCCATCAGATCAGAGGATATCTCCACAAATTTTAATTTCAATATGTCAATATGGAAAGAAAGTTTATTTCTTTTATGAAAGTTCATTCCATCAACATCTTCAATTAAAAATAAAACAGTTAAGAAAAAAAAAAATCACCATTAAATTAATATTAGGAACCACTCTCTTTTTATATGATCATAACTTAATTTAATATATTTGTAAGTATGATAGAATGCCCTCCCATCTCTGGCCCTTCCATTAAAGCTAAGTATAAGGAAAGGAGTTCTTAATTCTTGACAATAAACATCTCTTCAATTTAATAAGACAACACTCAATTTTGCAATTCAATCATAAAAATTTTAGACCTTCCTTAAGTCTCCAAAGAATTATACAATAATATGTATTTTAATATTTATAAATAAGTAGTGGTTGCATTAAAGAAATTATGTTGGATTGAAATCATACAAAGTGTTGTATATATATAATGAGTAGTGAAGCTGTGACATCTTCCTATTAAGACTTCTTCGATAAGTTTTTCAAAATATTATTTGAATCTCTAGTTATATTATTGTTTTTAAGAATAAAATCATTATCTCTTTACTTTGTTTCATGTTATATTGTTCATGCCATGGGTAGCTCACTCTCTTGCTCCATTTCCTTATTTATTCCACCATTTATTTTTCCTTCTCTTGTAACTTTTTTTTTTTTAATGATGAAGGTAGAAGTGTAGGTTAGAGTTGGTGATGTTGGATGACAAAAAGGATAGTTAGGCATGATGTCACTTTTCTTCATAGAAATTTAAGTTACTTAGATACAAAACAATTTTATATATATATATATAGAGGATTGTATTATGAACCGTAATAAATGAAATTCCTATGTTATAACCCTGAATAGCCAACACTTTGCTTGCTTAATAAAAATATTTCAAAAATATGAAATTTTTTACATTGATATATTTGAGTAAAATAAACATGTTTTTATAAAATAGGATCAACATCCTTACATATTTTTTGTAATTAATTTAATTTATTATTATCTTAGATTAAGTACCAAAACATAAATAAAGCAGAAAGATTTTTTTTTGAGATATTTGAACTAATTAAAGTAAATTTACACACTCATTATATATATATATAAGATTTGAACTCAAAATTTCTTAAATAATAGTAAAAAAAATCCCCTAATCAATAGGTCAAAATTGTGCATAGAGAGAGAATTCGATCCAGGAATCCTTGGTTTCATGGCTAACCGCGTATTTTACGTGGAAACGGGCGTGAGGGAGGGAGGGGCCGGTGACCGTGCGACTTAGAGCATGGTATACGGTCACCGAAGAAGGAGACAAAACTAAAATAAAAATTGTATTTTTAGTAGCTAATCCACATAGAGGACTAAATCTGTACGGGTTTTAGGTTTCCATTCGGTCTCTGGTCTCGTGCGCCGGCGGTTGGTGTGTGCTCTGCGCTATATAAGGTAGAAGCCGCGCCTTCTTCCCTCCGTTCTTGCCTTAATCCTCGCAGCCTTTCTTCTTTCTATATGTAGCCATTAACGCAGCTGCGCTGCTCCTTTTCTGCACCCTTTTCAATTAATACCAAATATCGTCGGTTATATTCCTTGGACCAGTTTTATCTCCAGCTGTGGGAAACACGTGAAAGGTTGGCTTTTTCACCGTGATTCTATGTTTTTTCGTTTTTCTTAGTTTTTTTCCATGAAAAAGGAGTAGACTTGATGCGATATTACGTCAATGAGGACAATAATGATGATTCATTTATCACGGTTGATTGAAAAAGATATTTAGCACTTTTACCTTTTGATTTTAGCTTCCTGATTTGTTTTCTTCTTTCTAGGGTTTGCGCTTGGCATGTTAAGCTCTGCTATCCCGTTGAAGGATTGAATTCTTTGCGATTGCTCTCAGGTTGCTTCGTGATGATGTTGCAGAGATTTTTTTATGGGTGCTTTGTTCTTTGTTCTTTTAAATGATGGTTCTTCTATAGGAAGAGGTGCGGGGCCTGGAATTTCATCACTTGCTTTTGGCGTTTTAGTTTTTTAGTATTTTGGGGGCAATGGAGAACGAGAGCTGTTCATGGGTTACCAGGGCAAAGTTCTCTCAAAACACTTTCATCCGTTCTGGTTCTTCTAGATTGCTATCCTTTAGATTGGACTGCCAATCTGACAGAGACTTGGACCTGAAGAAAGAAAGTTCGAGCTCAGATTCAATGGCAAGGGACTCTGGTTTAGGCTTCTCAAATGCAGCTTTTATGGCTAGTAGCTTTGTACAATTGAGCAACACTAGCTCTGTTTCAGAAGGGAAGCCGTTGGCCACTTCTGGTAGAAAAACAGATGGAAAATCAGAGAGCAAGATGAAGGATTCAAGCCTTGTTTCTTCAGATTCGATTTCTTCTAAATCCTCTCTGCAACATGGCAGTAGCGAGTCTTCCTTGACCTTGATGAAGGAGTCCAATTTACAACCTGTTGGGTTCTCTTTCCATCCCAATCTACGCGCCACAGTAGATACATTGAAACTGTTTTCTTATGCAGTTTGGTTTGATTCCAGTAGGAAAAAATTGGCTCAAATGAAACGAAAATCCAAACCAAAGCGAAGATCTATTTCTCCACAGCCAACCACCATTTCTTCTGATCTCTTTAAAGAGGCAAAATCTCATTCAAAGAGGTTCTCAACACCACCCCGTAGTAGAAATAAACAAGTCAATAATGAGTTGAGCACTCTCCAACAAATTTCCTTTGTGAAAGGCATTACCAAGTTAAGGGCAAAGAAAGAGAGACCCTGGGCAAGGTATTTTGATAATGGTGTAGTTAGAGTGACAGCAGTGGAGACCACAGAGAAGTGGATTGTAAATCTTTCTGAGTTGTATTTTGGGGCTAGATTTGCCTGTGGAGCTTATAGTAGACTTTACCATGGCATGTATAAGAATCAACCAGTTGCTGTAAAACTTATTAGATTGCCCGATGAAGATGACAGTGGAGTCATGGTGGCACGCTTAGAAAAGCAGTTCACCAGAGAGGCAACTTTTCTATCTCATCTTTGTCACCGCAATGTGATCAAGGTATTTTGGGATTCATATTTCTTTCAGCTATTTCATGTTGTTTACTTTGGTCTTGAATTGCTATAGAGATATTGCAGATTGGAAGCATAATTTGGAGGATAAACAAAAATGATTTCAATCCTCTATTCCTTCATCCTTCTCCCTTAGAATTCTGTTACGGGTTCATTGATTGAACTTGAGGTTTTATGAATATTTTGTCATTTAGGTTTCGTTTGGGATGACTTTCTTACTGCTTCTTAAAATAGCTTTCTAGTATAAAAATTTTAATAAGAAGTAAGAAAGCCGTCCCAAACAAAACCTTAATTTCATGAATATTTTGTGAATGACTAGTTTTTTTTATCGCTGTAGATCTACCAGCTTAGTTTCCTTGCCATAATTCTGAATTTACTAGTATTGTCAAAAGAAGAAAAAAGATTAATTTAACCTTGAGGGGACATGTCCATTAAGATGAACAACTGTAAACCATTTCTTCTAACACTTAACTATGATTCTTGTTTCTCTCTAATGATTAATACTGCTATGAATTAAAGTCAAAGACAAAACATTTAGATTTTTCTCTTATTTTCTCTTTAATTGCAGCTTGCTGGGTTTTGCAAAAAATCTCCCGTCCTTTTCATCATCACTGAATATCTTTCTGGAGGATCTTTGTGGGCATTGTTGCGCAAACTTGATCGCTCGCCACTTCCTTTGGATAATCTGATTTCGATTGCGCTAGATGTTGCCCGGGGCATGGAGTACATTCATTCACAAGGAGTTATTCATCGTGACTTGAAGTCAGGGAATATTTTGTTTGATAAGAACTTGTGTGTAAAAATTGCTGATTTTGGAGTGGCATGTGAAGAAGCATATTGTGATGTTCTTGGAGATGAAGCTGGCACTTACCGCTGGATGGCTCCTGAAATGATTAAACACAAGCCTTATGGGCGCAAAGTCGATGTTTACAGCTTTGGGCTTCTGTTATGGGAGATGATTACAGGTGCCATTCCATATGAAGAAATGACACCAGTTCAGGCAGCTTTTGCAGTTGTTAATAAGGTATACTATCCACTTGCCATGCAGGTAATTCTATTATATATTCTTAGGTTTCGGTTAAGGTGACTTTTTTACTGCTTCTTAAAGTAGATTTCTCTAGTACAAAAATTTTTTTGCTAGAAAGATGCTTTAAGAAGCAGTAAAAAAGCCACCCCAAACGAAACCTTAGTCCTGTGCTTCCTTTTCACTTTGTGCTTGTCTGCTTGGGCATGCTTTTGTTGAACATAATCTACCACTCTTGGGATATGTTTTTTTGCGACATTTAGGCCAATTTAGGCAAGCTCAGACACATCATATACGCAAGACTCGAACCCAAGATCTCTTGGTCGATAATAAAAGCTCTCAACCAATAGATCAAACTGAGCTGTGTAATCCTGACATATATTATTATGCTAATTTAAAGACTTGCTCTTTGCAGAACTTACGGCCCGTTATTCCGGCCGACTGTCCGGTAGCCCTGAGGATGTTGACCGAGCAATGTTGGTCAACACTACCAGAGAAGAGACCAGAGTTTTGGCAGATTGTTAAGGTCCTAGAACAGTTTGAATCTGATCTAGTTCATGGTGGAACACTCGAGCAAATTCAATTTTTAAGTCGCCAAGATCACAAAAAAGGACATTTAGTTTGGGTTGAAAAGCTGAGACCTTCAAAAGTTGATAGCTTTAGCCCTCCAAATGCCAAAAAATTGTAAACTTCATTCTTGTCCATCGTTTTGAATAGTTTTGATGGCTTCTAAACTGTAATTGTATGTATCTGCATCTACTGAACAAAATGTTGCTCGGTTTCAAGAAGCATTTAGTTGGCATCGCATTGATTTTTTTTTATTAATCTGTTTCCTAAGCAGCTTTCACTTTCAGTCATTCTATAGCATTACTGTTGCAGTTAGGAATGGTGCTGCTGTTAATATGAATAACTATAAATTAAGCGTTTGATTTTGATGGAAAAAATTTCTCAATCAATCTTTGAGCTATGAATCCTTCTACAAAATTGTAGAAAAGTTGATAAAAGTGTAGCACCAATCGATAAACTAAACATAAGTGTGACAATAATTGTAAGATAAAGATTTCGTTTGGGACGATTTTTTTCATGCTTCTTAAAGCAGTTTTCTAGTAAAAAAATTAAAATTTTTAACTAGAAAGCCGCTTTAAGAAGCAGTAAGAAAGCCGTCCCAAACGAAACCTAAATTATAAAAAAAACATATCAGTGTTGATGTTTGCTGCTGCATCCTTTAGTTAAAGTTGGTGGAATTGGTGAGAAGGATCATTTCCTGGTTTGTTAGAAGTTGGAGACTGTGTCTCAAGGAGCTCATCTAAGTTCCAGATTGGTGTTAATGGACTATGAGGGCTCTGGTTAGGTCAGAGTTTTTGCTTGCTGGAATTTGTTTAAATTTAGAGTAACGAGGACTCTAATCTTAGCAGGAGATTGTTGAGATTAGCTTTGGAAATACTTAGTAGTAATTTGTTAAAGTGGTATTTTGATGGAGAAAGTTATCCCACTCCATAGTGTCATGCAAGGCCCAAAGTTTGATATAAGCTTAGTATTCAAAATTGCTTGAGGGGCCGTTTGGTTGTATTACATAATGGTGTAAAGTATTCTTAATGTAGGGGTTCTAAAAATTTTAGTTTTTGATTGGATGAAAAAGAGATGCAAAGTAAAGTAAATGTAGCGCAAAATATTCTAGTTCATTTTTTAGGTAAATCAAACACTCACGGTTTTGAGGGAGAATGATTTACACTGCAAGCAAGCTCACTTAACCTCCACCAGCCACCTCTACTAGCCTTCGGCCACAACCACTTGCCATCAGCCACCGCCACCAGCTGTCTACCACTATCACCACCGTTGGCCACGATTGCCGGCCACCTCCACCAGCCTTCAACCACCATCGTCGGCCATTGCCACTCACTGGCAGCCACCACCGCCTCCACCACGTAGCTTGCCACTAACCACAACTGTCACCGTAACCGGCCACCACCACTGCCAGCCTTTGGCCACCATCGCCAGCCATCACCACTTGCCGTTGGCCACCAACACTGCCACCCCATCGTCAACTGTCAGCCACCACTACCGCCGGCCACCACCACCCTCGCCGCCACCACTCACAGCTAGCTATCGCCGCCATGCACTGCCGGTCACCACGCTCTACCACCACCCCCTAATTGTCATCATATTTAAATTTTATACTACATTCATTTTACTTCAAACCAAATAAAATAAAATCATTCACCTAAATTTATTTTACACTCATCCAAACAACTCAAAAGTATTCATTTTACACTATTATTTTTACAATGCATTCATTTTACACTTCATTCCTTTGTAAGTAAAGAAAGAGTGTTTTTTGAAAAAAATAATAAATTTATTAGATTCTATTATTTGATTTGATATAGTTTAAAATTTTTATAAAATTTTCAATGTATAAATATTTGTCAAATACCAAAAAAATAAATTTTTAAAATTTATATGAGCAAGCATGAATTTTAATGCAAAATGTTAGATATAAAGCGCATAGATCTTAGAAAAAAAATTGAAATTAATTATGGGATTATCCAAACTTTCTTTTAAGCACATAGATCTTGTTTGATAAATTCAATGAAACAAAGATTACTCAATAATGCTAATACCACCAAGAAAAATGTCTACTAGCACCAACAAAACGTATGCTCACTATCAACACTGATGTTGATGTACGCTTATTGCCGACAAAATTGATGCCCACGAATAACATCAAAGACCATTGTTGACAACTATATCAATAGACGTTATAAATAAGCCAATCATCATACCAACACCCAACATCACCAACAATATTGGCATACACTGTTGTCAACAACTTTGATGCCCATTGTGATGAACAACATTGATGCGTGCTATCATTAATAATGTTGATGTATGCCATAAATAACAATGTTGGTATTCACAAAGTCATTAATAATGCCAATGTCTGACATTGCCAATAATGTCAAATTTTGTCATTGCTAACAATGTTAATGTCTATCATTGATATAAATGTTGATGTCCATTGTTGCTGGTGAGGATGATGATCGAATTAATAATAACACTGACATATGACATTGCCAATAATATTGATGCATTTCGTTCGCATTAATATTGATGACGATCATTAAAACTAACATTGATTCATGTCATCTCCATCAATATCAATACTTTTCATCACCAACAAGTTTGACTTCAACTGTTGTTGACAACCTTGACACCCTCAGTCATCATCAAGGTTGAAACTTATCAGCCAAACCAATGCCAATATTAGCCATCATCATGATGTCATCAAAGTTTACACACATCATCAATGCCAAGGCCAATGCTGGCCTTTGTGGTATCCCATTCTAGAAGTAGAAAATTTGAGCACACCATTAATCATCAATTAATGGAAATTCTAATGCCTCAAGGCTCTTTTTACTTCCACCAAAAAGTAATATTTACTATTCATATATATTGTTGCGTCCTGGAGTATTTGCGGCGGTAGAGAAATATAAAGTTTAACGTCTTAGCGTTGTACGAAAATCTGGTATGCACACAGATAAAGGGAGAGGGTGCATTTATGAGAGACACAAAGATTTTTATGGTGAAAACCCCTGAATAGGGGAAAAACCATGGGGTTTTTCCTAGTATAAATGAATCCACTAGTATAGTAGTTGATTGCAAAGGAGGTCCTTCCTCAGGGGAAGGCCTTAGCTTGATGTACATCTTATATAGTACATTACATGGTGAGAATACATAGCATCATTGCTGATGTGTTTGTTTGATTTGAAAGACTGTAGTCGGCGGGCGACGGAGGTCAGAAGGCTGTAGTCGGCGGGCGACATAAGTCGGAAGATTGTAATCGGCTGGCGACATAAGTCAGAAGGACCATAGTCGGCGAGCGACGGAGGTCGGAAGAACTGTAGTCGGTGGGCAACATAAGTTTGAAGGACCGTAGTCGGCGAGCGACGAAGGTCGGAAGAGCCGTTATTTGACGAAAGAGGTCAGAAAGATGACGTCTAGTAGAAGACCATAAATGGATAGAAATTCAACATTAGGTAGGTGTCTAGTGAAAGTCCAACAATTGGCAGAAGTCTATCATCAGGTAGAAATTTGGAGACGAGCGGAGGTCCGACATCGGGTAGAAGTCTGACTCCAGTTGGAGGCCGAGGAGAATTCTGACTTTAGATGGTATTCAAGCAGAACTCGAGCGTCACTTGGAGGTCGGATGGAATTCCGGCGTAACTTGGAGGTCGGGCGGAATTCCGGCGGCACTTGGACAGAATTCTGGCGGCACTTGGACAGAATTCTGGCGGCGGAGGTCGAGGAGGAGTTCCTCCCTCCTATTCTTATTCTCTTACTTTTTGCTTCGGCCCCCTCACAAGAGAAATGAGGGGTCTATTTATAGATTTATGGAGTGGCATGACCTGTAAATAGGTGAGAGATTAGGGGCGAATCGGGAGTGGTTTGAATGGACGGCCGATATTCAATCCCTTGATCATGGACCGTTCATCAGACATTTGAAGGTCTTAATGATGTCATAATTCGGCGATCCTAGGTTTGTTGGATTCGTCTCGTTGAGCCGCTCGATATGACTATAAACACATTATGTTTGTAAACTGTTTGGTAACTCAAATTGTGGTTCGAACCTTCCAACAACGCTTCGGGTCCTTGATTTGGACTCATTTGGGCTTGGATTGAGTCGAATTTGGTGTCGTTGGGTTCGTATTTCTAAGACGCTCAGTTTGACTATAAGTTTGCTAAAATCAGGGTTCAGGTGATCCCATATTTAATTTTTGAAGTTTCCAACTTGATTTTGCCTCGAGATTTGTGCCCGATCAAGATAATTTTTCGATGACATATCATATACTATATTATATCAATCTCTTCACTAGTTATGAGAAAGTACATCCTTTTTAAGATAAAATCAACACTAGTGGAAGCATTTCAATTAGGACATGCTCTATGATTTTTTTCTTCTTAGATTCTTTACATAAAAATTTCATATCTCCTATGTGTGTACCAAATTTTTATTAATTGCTGAGATGATAAACTCTTTGCATCTTTTTGAGTTTTCTTATATAGAATAATTTGGAATCATGTGGAAAGCAACTCAACATGGGATGCAACCCTAGTTTTAGCCTCAAAAGGACACTAAATTAACATTTCATACATGACTGTAGTTAGGCAATTAGGGAACTTCATTCCTCTATGATTCACTAATTTACTAATTATATAACAAGAAAGTCTAAATTGGGGAGCAACTTTGCCTAAAACCTCAAAAGGATATATATTTTAGCGTCTCAAGCATGGTTATAACCGGACAATTTTGTAATGAAGTTGATGAGATATTTGTCTATGGAGAAGGGCTATATCAGAAAAAAAAAACTCCATATATCAATCCCTTATGATGGATATGGGCAAATAAGCTAGTCCATTAAACTTAAATTCAGATAGGATCTTGGAATATATGTTCTCTTACAAGAAAAGTAATGTAATTATATATATTATGATTCATAGGAAGATTAATACTCTATGCATTCAGGAAACTAAATGAGTTGGAGATAAAACTAAGGAGATTGATAGTCTATGATTTAAACTATGATATTCGGGTAGGAGTTATACTAGGAATGGAGTAGGTGTGATCATAAATAAGAGTTTGAAGGATAATATTATAAAAATTAATAATATTAGAGGTAGAATTATAGTTTTAAATATTATTATTAATGCTAAGATTATTAATATTATAAGTATCTATGCTCCTCAAGTAGGTTTGGAAATGTGTTCAAAATTAAAATTTTGGAATGACTTAGAAAAATTAATACAAAATATATCTCTTGAAGAAAGAGTTTTATTTGAGGAGATTTAAATGGACATATTGGTATAGAGATAGATGATTTTAAAAGCATTCGTAGTGGTCACGAGTTTAAAACGACAAATGAAGGTGGTAAGACCATATTAGATTTTCCTTTAGCTTATGATTTTTTATTTGCTAATATCTTATTTAAGAAAAGAGATGAGCATCTCAATCACTTATAAAAATGGATATAATAAAACTTAAATTGATTATTTCCTTATAAAAAAATAGATCGTTTAGATTGCAAATATTGTAAAGTTATTCCGAGTGATAATTTATGTTTCCAACATCGATTATTAATTTTGGACTTTAAGATAAATGGGTAGAAAATAAAAAATAAAGTAAAACGATATTCTAGGATTAGATGAAGCATTAAAGAATATTCATAAAAATATTTTTGAAAGTAAGATTTTAGATCTTAAGATTTTGTCTGTGTATGAGAATGCTAATGCTATGTGAAAAAAATGACTAGTGATATTAAGACTATTGCAAAAGATGTATTTAGAGTATGAAAGAGAAAACTCATAATAATAAAAATAGTTAGTGGTGGAATCCAAATGTATGAGAAAAGATAAAAAATAAGAAAATTTGTTATAAAAATTAGTTTTATATGTAAAAATTTTGATAATTGGAAAAAATATAAAGAGGCACGTAAGGTATCTAAGAGAGCAATATGTTATGCAAAGATCTTAGCTTTTAATGATTTATATAATATATTAGAAGCTAAGGAGGGAGAAAGATATATGTATAAATTAGCCAAACAAAGAATATGAGTAGTAAGGATTTAGTTCAAGTGAAGTGTATCAAAGATGAATATTAAAAAATACTTTTTTGAGAAAATGATATTCAATAAAGGTGGATGTGATATTTTGCTAAATTTTTTAATGAAGGAAATGAAAATGCGATTGACTTTAGTGACCTTAGAACCCTAAATGAAAATAAAAATATCTATTTTTATCAGCATATTAGTAAAATCGAAGTTAAAAAGGCATTAAAGAAATTAAGTGTGAAAAAATTGTTGGAGCGGATGATATTCCAATAGAGGTGAGAAAATGCTTAGGAGATGAAGGCATTTATTGGCTTACTAAACTTTTTAATATTATTTTTAAGACTAAAAAGACACTAGATGAGTGGAGAATGAGTGTGTTAATTCCTATTTTTAAGAATAAAGATTATGCACAAGATTGTATGAATTATAGAGGATTTAAGTTAATGTGTCATACTTTAAAACTATGGGAGCGAGTTATGGAGCGTAGGTTGCGGCGTGAAACTAATGTTTCTCAAAATCAATTTGGATTCATGCCGGTAGGTCTAATATGGATGTCATACATTTATTGAGAGGTTTGATTGAGAAATATAAAAAGATTAAGGAGGATCTACATATGATATCTGTTGATTTAGACAAAGCATATGATAAATTAAGTCCCAAGAGAAGTGCTATGGAGAGTTCTTGAAAAGAAGGGAGTTATTAATGCTTATATTCAAATCATTAAAGATAGATATGCATGAGCTATTACTTGTGTTCAGACACAAGGTGGTTTGACCAAGAATTTTCCTATTTTTGGTTGGATTACATCAAGGATCAGCCTTAAGCCCATATCTTTTTGCTTTAGTCATGGATGTTCTCACTAGACATTTACAAGAGGATATACCTTGGCGTATGCTTTTTGAAGATGATATTCTTCTTGTTGATTAGATTAGAGAGGGAGTTGCAGGTAAACTTGAATTATATAGGTCAACCTTGGAGTCTAAAGGTTTTCGCTTGAGTATATCTAAAACTAAATATATAGAGTGTAATTTTAGTACCAATAGACCTAATGAGGGGATTGCGACTTTGGGTGATTAAGTCATTAATAAGAGTACAAGTTTTAGATATATTAGATTTATTGTTCATAGTGATGATGAAATAGATGGGGATATTATTAACATATTTCAAGTTGGATAATTGAAGTGGAGGAATGCATCGGCTTGTTGTGTGATAGAAAAGTCCTCAAACTTAAGAGAAAATTCTATAAACTGGTGGTGAGACCTGCAATGCTTTATGGTGCCGAATGTTGGCCATTAAAATAGAAGCATAATACTAAGTTAAGTTTTGCAGAGATGAGGATGCTTAGGAGGATGAGTGGCTTTACCCTTAGAGATAGGATACAAAATGAGCATATACGTGAAAAGGTTGGAATAGCTCCAGTGGAAGATAAGATTAGAGAGAGTCTCTTTAGATTGTTTGGTCACATAAAATGGCAGCCTTCCAATGACCCGGTTAGGATAGTAGAGGTATTAGATTTGACTTATGTTAAGAAAAGTGGAGGTAGATCTAAAAAGACTTGGATAGAAAATATTATAAATTATATTTTTTTATTAGATAAAATGAGAATTTGACTTTTAACAGAACAAAATGGAGAAAAAGGATTCATGTAACTGACCCCACATAGTGGGACAAAGGCTTGTTGTTGTTGTTTTTGTATATCAATACCTCATGATAAGGTACATTCAACTCTCAAATCATTTTCTTTTTTTCAAAGAAATGTGGATGTTTTCACTTGGATATTCTTCCAAATATATGAAGGTTTGATCTTAGTGTCACTTTGAATAGCTTTTGGCCACTCTTTTTTTGATGCTTTCAAGAAATTTTTTTTACTAGAAAACTACTTTAGATAGCAGTAAGTAATCTATCTCAATTGAAGCCTAAGGTTTCGTTTGGGACGGCTTTCTTACTACTTTGTAAAGCAGTTTTTTAGCATAAAAATTTTATTTTTTGTGCTAGAAAATTACTTATGAAGCAGTAAGAAAGTCGTCCCAAATAAAACCTAAAGCTGCCATCATGATAGATGTAAAGAAAGTTCTCCAAAAAGTTAGGTATATAGATTGGTTCACTAACGCAACCATGTTCAAAAAAGCTAACAGAAGTTGACGCATGCGCATGGACTTCCCCAAGTTCAACATATCTGCCTAAAAGCACTTATCCTCTCCTTGATATTAACACCATAGATGATTCCATTGTAGGCTATTTAATGCTATTCTTTCAGGATACGACCAAATAAAGATGCTCTCCATTAATGAGGAGAAGGACAAGCTTTCAGTGATGCAATAAGCTCCTGTTACAAATTTTTTCCCCTTTGGGTTGAAGAACACAAGCACAACCTATTAAAGACAAGTGTGCCATCCACTCTTGCTTTGAGAATCTGAAAGAAAAGATGCTCCAACAACAACAAAAAAAATCTACTTGTTCACTATCTCATCTTTTTTTCATTAAAATATTATCATTTGATGAATATGCTTATCTTACGATAGTGGATAAATGACAATTATGTCCATTAATTAACAACATAATAGCCGGATGCATGGCCGGCCGGTCTGCTGGAGAAGATTATGATCTCTAAAACTTGTACTGTTGCGACTCTGCTTTTCTATATATATGAACCTTTTGAGTGGACTATTGTTGTATATTCTCTCTCTTTAAAGCTGCAAAACACTGCAAGAGAGAGAGTAGAAATCCCCCACTTCAGAACATGAGAAGAATAAGGTATGAATCCTCTCAAAACATTCTTTAGGATCAACAAAGTAGAAAGAGAGATAGCCAGATAGATAGATAGATAGATAGATAGAGAGGAACCTTCTTACAGGTCTGTTTTAGATGATAAAGAGCTGTGTCAATTTATTTGTTGAAGGATGTCTCACATGCTGGTGAAATTATTCTGTGAGTACGTCGAACGTCGTCCGGAGATCAATCAGAATTCTCCACGTCACCTCTTGCTCGGTATCCGGCTTGGCACTGCTGACGTGGCGTATTTTGATTGGTCTCCAGACAATGAACTGCATTCGGCATCCGCATAGAATAATCTCTCCACATGCTGATAGAGAATTGGAAAGGACTTCATTTTTTTTTTTAAATATTGAATGCTAATTTGATTTTTTAATTGTCTTCGCAGAGGAGGGATGCATTGTTCTCTACGCCAAAGAATAGTTATTTTTCTTTTTTAATGGATCTCTTCCTCCAAATAACGTAGCATCTGCTTTCTCTAATTGTTTAATGCTTGACATCTATTGTAATAAGATTAAAAAAATAGAGCATCCTATTTGACCTTTTACTGGGTCTTAAATGTCCAAATGAGTAAGTGTTATTGATAATATTAGTCAATGAGTTAAAGAAGCACAAATATTAATAAAAATCATATGTCTTGGTATACAAGTGTAGCTCATTAGCACACTCTTGCATAAATTAAATTTGCGATTTTTTCTTTATAATTTTTGAGAAGACAACAAAACAAAAATATATAATATGAACTCTTTCATGCTGCAATAAAAATTTTCAATGAATTATTAGATGACAAAATAGGCGGGACCATCGACGCATAGAGCACATTAGATTGAACCTTTTATAATAAGATTTTCTAGCTACATTTTATGTGTGTAGTATACGTATTTCTAATTTGGGACGATTTTCTTACTGTTTTTTAAAACAACTTTTTAGTACAAAAGTATAATGAACTATAAATTTTTGTATTAAAAAGTCATTTTAGAAAGCAGTAAAAAAACTGCCCCACAGAAAGTTCAAATGCAAAGCTACTTTCAACATCACGCAAGACATGTTTAAACTTCATACAAGAAGCTTGAAGCCCACCTCACAATAGAATTTATTCTTAAATGCTTTCTTGGACAAATAAATAGCCACTTATTAACAGTCCTCTTGGTAATTTCAGTCAAAAGATAGCACAAAAAGGCTTGCTCTACCCCATAATTGGCCTTGTGGCCTGTATGACTTTCATGTACATATCCATTGGGGGCTTTGGAACACATGAAAAGGAATCACAACTGAGCTTCGTAGGAAGAGAAGGAACTCAGTTCATCAACAATGGAAAACCATTCTATGTTAATGGCTGGAATTCATATTGGTTATTGATTCAATCAGTGGAGGAGAGAAACAGGCCAAGGATTACTGCAATGTTTGAATCAGCTGCTGCTATGGGACTCACAGTCTGCAGAACTTGGGCTTTCAATGATGGAGCCTACGATGCTCTTCAAATTTCTCCTGGAAAATTCGATGAAAGAGTTTTTAAGGTGTTTATTTCCTCTTTCTGCCTCTCACTTACTTAAATTTTAAGTTTAGTAAACTATCATTCCATGTAACTTCCATGAAAATCTTGAAATCTTATTTCTCGCCCACTCATTTGTATACGAAAATACAAAACCCTCGATGAAGAACAAGTGAGAAAGTCACAACATGATTTCATTGATGCCCTTTTCCCATTGGGAGAAGGGCATCAATGAGACCTACAACAGTGTGACAATAAGGTTATGTTTGGAACGGTTTTCTTATTGCTTCTTAAAGCAGCTTTCTAATATAAAAATTTTATTTGTTGTATTAAAAAGCTGCTTTAAGAAGCGATAAGAAAGTCGTCCAAAAAGAAGCCAAGAAATATGAGAAATGTAATATTTTGTTTGTTATTTAAATAATTGAGTGTTATGTAAAGTAAATATGATGATTGAGAAGTTAAAATATGGCAATAAGTTAGATGTAAGTGTTAGGCATGTAAAGCAGATTGCTTAATCAAAATGCAGGGATTGGATATGGTGATTGCAGAAGCACAACGGCATGGGATCAAGCTGCTTCTAAGCTTGATCAATGACTGGTCAGATTTTGGTGGCAAAATACAGTATGTTAAGTGGGCTAAGGAGGCTGGACTCAACTCTATCAGCTCAAATGATTCTTTTTTCTTTGATCCATACATCCGCAGCTGTTTCAAGAATTATCTTAAGGTATATATATATATATGAGAAATTTGATCTTACACTCTCACTTGCTAAGTATAATAATATTGATATGCTGCCATTTATGCCTGTTTTTTCAGACCATAATAACCAGGAAAAACCATTTAACTGGAATTGAATACAGAGATGATCCTACAATCTTTGCATGGGAGCTTATGAATGAACCTCGCTGCGATTCAGATCCATCTGGAACTACTTTGCAAGTATAAAAAAAAACAAGAATTTCTTCATTTTTTGTTGCTCTTATTGCAAAGTTACCACTTTATAAATATTTCTGTATTGAATTATGTAGAATTGGATTGAAGAGATGGCGAGCTATGTAAAAACGATTGATAATAAGCATCTCTTAACGGTCGGCATAGAGGGATTCTATGGTCCATCAAGTTCTCACAAATTCAAATTCAACCCAGGAGAGTATTTCAAAAATCTAGGCTCGGATTTTATTCAGAACTCTGAAGTTGCTGCCATCGACTTCTGCTCTGTTCATATTTATCCGGATCTCTGGTAAAAGAAGAAGAAAATTTTACTGAAAGAAACTCAATCAAATACCAAAACAAAATGGTTTTTGACGTTCTTACTGAACTAAGAAAATGCGTTCATTTGCAGGTTGCCGGCAAAGACAACTTTGCTTGAGAAGAAAATATTTGTTTCCAATTGGGTGATCTCCCACATCAAAGATGGAGAAGAAGTGCTTAACAAGCCAGTTTTGTTCACAGAATTTGGCCTATCAACCAAGAACAATAAAACTAGCTACAGCCACCGAGATGAGTTCTACAAACACATATTTGATCTAATATACAAGTCTGCATTGAATAAAGGAGCTGGAGCTGGATCTTTCATTTGGCAACTACTAGTTGATGGCATGGATAACTTAAGTGATGAATTTGGAGTTGTTCCTAAGAAGAGGCCAACACTCTATAGGCTGTTAAAGGGGCAATCTTGCAGGCTGGCAAAGGTTTCTGGTGTCAAGAAATGGGAATGGTTTCATTCAGCTTTTGAATCTAAGAAGGAATGGAGAGTTTCAGAGGGAGATTGCTGAAAAAAATGCATTTTGGTTGAGAGATTGAGAAGAAAATGATGTTTCAGTGAGATTTTAACGTCTTCATAGGCTCAATGGGAATTTCACTGATGTTAATTTAGTCAATGTAGATTAAATAATAGTGAGTTAAGAAAGAAACTTATCTTCTTCATGATGAGAAATTTTTATATTGTGTGCCTATCCATAGTAGAAAAAATAACGAGGAATATAAGAAATACTGTGCTTTCTGTTGACCTCCACACCAGAGCTTATATATATATATATAAGTTTGCCAAAATCTCTGCACATCCTGCTTGAATCCTGCTCAAATCCTGCCCCATTCCTTTATCCTGCTCAAATTGGCACCGAATTGTCTCTTCACGCCTGATAATGATGTTCGCGCTCTCATCTCCTGTTTCAAACTGCCACCCTTGTCGATAAGCGAAGATGAAGCGAAGTCCTTCGTTCTTCTTTGACACGAGAGCTCTCCCATTCCTCTTCTTCTTCCTATAAGTGAGTAGCCTGCAACCAAGCTCTTCAACCACCTGTCACCTTCACTCCACAGTCGAACTTGACTTCCGCCTCTACCTCCCGATCTCCACTACCTAGATGCTCGATCCTCACTAACTAGACGCTCGATCCTCAACCCAACATCTGACATCCACAGCTTCCGTTCGACCCCAAATCCCTCACCCAGTTCGTAGTCGGCCTCCCTTTTTCCATCGAGCTCCAGCCAATTGACCACTATCCATTTCTCTCAGCTCAAACCCAATTGCCACTTGCTGCTCAAGCCCATCCCCTCTTCACACGCAGTAGCCACAAGAATCCCAGCCTCCTTCAAGTAAGATCCCGCACCCGATCTCACGCCTCAACTCCACAAACACCGGCTTGACCCACAAACACTTTCCAACCAAAACCTCCACGCTCGATCTATCCTGTTCGAAGCTGCTCCAACCCCATCGACACTCAACATTACGCATGCACTCGACCCATTTCCCTTATGCTGAACCATGCAAAACCGACCCCCCTTCCCATCCAATCCTCAAGCCACCAACCCTCCGACTACCGCACTCGCTAGATCGAACCCTCCAGCCACAAATCACCAAATCAACAACCCGCTTCTTCCATGCTCAACTCCGACCTCCCAGATCACAATCCAACCTCAAGCCATAGCCGACCTTACCTCACTTCCAATTGAACCCGACCAATCCCTCCACTGTTCAAGGCCTGTAACTGATCAACCTCCACTCTAACCCATCAACCATCTGGCTCCTTGTGGGCTTCAAAAATTCATGCCCTGACCTCCCCTGCTTTCGGGGGAGTTTTAATGAATTAAGTTCTAGGATAAATTTTTAGAATGCAGATTGTGTTCGAAATAAGATATTACCCAAAGATTTCACCCTCATTTTACGAGGACTTTACAATATGAGTTCTAGTTTCCTATAGGGACAAGCCCCTATAGTTAATTACACATACCGATAACGAGAGAACTTTTGATTAAGGCTAATTGTCAATCATATACGTAGAGATACATATATCTAACATATAGCAGCATGGGATTAGGTATTTGAATGTTTGATATTTCAAAATTTGAAATTTCACCATCTTGCACTTAAAGCTGATGGTTGGGGGAATGATGATGAGCCCGATCAAAATCCCATGGTTCTGTCGTCTCGGGTCATTATAGTCCCTAGTCTACTTAGTCAGTGGAGGTAGTCGAACCAACCTGACAGAAGGATCCTTATCAACAGCCAAGGGTTGTGTCATCCAAGGATACCTTGTAGACTTCGTGTGAATATTTTCCTAATGGGACAAATTTGAATCCACTCTAGCTAACATAGGGCTTTGTGCTCTATCGATCATATTTTATTGATTTATATTTCACGGATTTAGTGTCATTGGGAATATATTGGAGTTGGCCATGATCGTAATTTACTGGTGCAATTTGGCGGCGAACCACCCGATTCAGAAGGCCTTGATCATAATCGATTACTTGTGGTGCCATTTATTTATGAATTTTCTTGTTTATCGGCCTTGAAGTCATAACATGAAAGTATAAAACAAATATCCCGGTTGAACCATTTTTTTTTTTATGGTTCGAGTAGTGTCGACTCCTATCTAACCGCATAGAAGGATCATGCTTGAACTTGGGTTCATCATTTAACCCACGCAACATCCCTATGCGTCACGTATGTACCCGTAATACGCTCGTAGGGACCAATGCGGATATTTAAGGGTATTTTTGTGATTATCCATTGAACCTTGTCGACTCTGTCTAATTGTTGGCGGAGGATCAGATTCATTGTCGATATTAGGACTTTGTTAATGAATTTTCTTGATTACAGGACTTGAAGGTCTAATATGAACATATTAAAACAATAATTTCGGTTGATGTTATGATCGTATATTTGTATATATTACCGTTACACCAATACACTATGCAAAATACCCGACGAGCGTGATGTATACACACAAGCGACATCTGAGGATATTGTGTGGGTCAAAAAATAAAATTAACTCCGAGCCCAATCCTTCTATGTGAATAGATAAAAATCGGCACGGCTCAAACTATCAAACAAATATACAGCCGCGACATCAACTGAGATATTTGTTTTATACGCTTATATTAAGCCTTCAAGGTCTATAACAATATAAATTCACTAATAAAGACATAAAACCAATGACGAATCCGATCCCCTGTTAGCAAAATAGACAAAGTCGATGGGGTTCAATGGATAAAATGAAATTGCTCAAAATCACCCCGATGATGATTGTGTTGACAGAAAATCCCAACTAGAGGGGACCCCAAATAATTGAAAATGTCACCCAAATTCCAACGAAAATTCAATACTAAAAAATTCACCTTATGAGGGCGAAATCTCTAGGTAATGTCTTAGTCAAAACCCAATTTGCCTTATGAAAACTTGCCTAAAAATTAAATGATAAAACTCTCCTCGACGACCCGAAGGAAAAGAAAGGAGCTGTGGGGAGGCCAGGGTGCGAATTTTTAGAGGCAACATTTCAAAGTGACAATGTTCGACTTAATCTGAGGAAACTATGAATACTAAGTGATGATATCTATAATACAGATAGTCCTCTAGAGTTCTAGATATCCTAAACTCAACTACATATTTTTTACCCCACTCAAAAAGTTTATAATTATTAAGGAAAGCTTATCTAACTGATGAAAATCTCCAGTATTGTGGGAATGGTTATGGGCATTGAGATATTTTTCATCTTGTAGGCAAGACAAGAGGTGTTTTGAGGCATGAGTCTCAAAACTCAGAAATTGCGTGAAGTGAAAAGGAATGTTAAAGTGATTTTTTTAATAATAATCAAATAATATATTAAATGATTTCATTAAATTTCTTCTGACTAATAAAATAATAAATTAGCATGCGCATGTATATATATATATAATTGCAAGAGATAAATTACATGAAATAAAATTGAAATTCAAATATAACAATAACAAAACAATGTAAAATATAAATATTGTATAACAATATTATAGAACATCAAGTTCAACTTCAAATTCCTTCTTTTCCAGTTTCGTACTCATCCGTATGTAATTCCTAAATAGTAATACTACGGCAACAACTCAAAAATCATCTATGTTGTTATCGCTAAGGAGGTCATCATTTTCAAGTCTGATTGCTACGAAACTCTAGATCAAATCAACATCATATCTAGCTTTATATTTATCATCTCAAGATGCTATATAAAAGGAGATGAAATCAAAGCATAAGATGCAACTCTAATCTACTCCTTGATGATGTCGACAAGGGCAGCAAAGACCTGTTTCAATGAAGTGGGAGAGATCTATGCTGATCTAGAGAGCTCATATGTTGAAGTCAAGCATCCACAACACTGCACCTCTCTCAGATCAAGAGGAAATGGTTGATAGTGAAGGGAATCAAGAGTTTTATCAATCTCTTGATATTTCATTTAACAATAACTTCGGTTTAACTAAAACTTCTTTTTGAAAAACATAGACACAAAAAGGTAAAATCCAACTCTTACAATGCCAAAACAATGTAAACTCTTAGAAGCTAGGCCCAACGTAGCAATTTTACTGTTGTATAATTATGCCTATTCATTAATGACTACATCAAAGATCAAGGAAGCAAAGCTAGCTCAATTGAGTTATCATTAGTCTTGATATAAGAATAAATAAATTTCTTCTCCATAAATCATCATTTTTATAAACAAAAATAATATTTTTTCTATAATTACAAGAAAAATTATATCAGAATATTCTGATATATTTGTGTCAGGATTAAAAAACAGATGATCAAAATTAAATGACATACTCAAAAGTAAATGACAAATACTCAAAAGTAGACAAATTAAATAACACCATACATTAGTTTTTTTTTACTTTTTCTGTTCCTATTAGTTTAAAGGTCATATATTTCATATTCAGGCATTGCTGGGCTAAATAACCATAAAAGCGTCACTATTTTAATAATGCAAGCTCCTGTTTGATGCATTCAGTTATTCTGGTTTATTTATGTTTTATTGTATTTTGAATAATATTAGTCGTGTTTTATTTTTGTTTATGCTATCCTATGATGGTTGGACTTCCAATGATCATGGTAGGAAGGTGCTTGGCATGGCAAACCTTGGGTTTGCTTGCTTTTGGGTCCACTTCGTCCTTGGGCTGCTTGCTGATTTCTATTTTGGTGTGGTGGCTGCTCTCGGGTGGGCCTTGGATGCTTGGTGTTGAGCTTAAAAAAATGTTGGATGCTACTTGGTGCTAGCTCATAAATGCTTGAGATGAAGTTTAGCTCAATGATTAGGGGATTTATTGCACTTCCTAGCTCATTAATTCATAAAGGTATGCTATTATGTCTTGGATTCATTTTGGAGCGGACTTTGCCCCTTCTCCTCTCTTTGTCTCTTCGGTTTCCTCTTGGCTTTTGCTGTTCCCGTGGCCCCTGACTGTTTTCCCGTGCTGATGTTCTGTGCTCTATGCTAGCTCCTCGGGTCCCTTGATGGCTGGGTTTCCTGTGGCCTTCTTTTCTCTGTTTCCTGTACCGAGTTGGGGCTGCTGTGTTGTGGCTGTTGGCCTTTCATTTTCCTAAATCTAATTGATTTGGTTGGAGGTGTTATGGCTGTTTGGTTCCTCTCTTTTGCCTATAAAATGGAGATGTTTTGGCATGGAAAAGGTTGTTGAAATTGTGAGTAAAAACTCTACAAAAACCTGAGGGTTTCTTCTTGGAAAAGCTTGAGAGCTTGTTCCATCCCATTCTTCTCTTATCTATTTCGTCTTGGCTTCTAACCCCTTCTTCTCTATGCAAGTTCCACTCCACTTGTATCCTTCTTCTTGAACTTTGGAAGTGTATGTTGGCTGAAATTTGGAGATATTTACCGGAGGAGTTTGGAAAGGACATTAGACTCTTTTGCAGTGGTGGATCCTTGGTTTGCAAGCCTAAGCACAATTCTCTTACATTCCTACTTTTGTTGCATGTGAGGAGACCGCTAGACGGTTATACTGAGGATAGTGTTTTCATATTTTTATTTTGTTTTTGTTCGATTTGGCTTTTGTTTTTCCTAAGTTTGTTTGGATGTTTGCAAGTTACAATTGAATTGAGTTTGATTTATGTCTTGTCCTGGTGTTCTCCAATTTGTTTCTTTTCTCTAGACTTTGCTTGCATCACTGTTTAAATCAAATATGCTTAAACCAAACCAAATCAAGGGATCTGAGTTACAATTAGAGTCATAGGGTCACCATTTCAGCTGCAGGGTCTAGTTTTTATTACCTAATATACAAAATACATTTCATAATAAAACAATGATGATTTCACAATACAGCTAACAATGAAAAATATATTCTGATGAACCTATATAAAAGTGAATTTGAGTTTCAAACTTGTGGGTTTACATACATAATGAAATACAAAATCTTAGCTATTTAAATACAAAATATTTCCAATATTCCTTCACGACCTTCATTTGACCTCCATGTCATAGAATAGATAATCTAATCATGGCACTGCATAAGACAAAAGCATGGATCAGACAACCGACCAAGCACGCAGATCAATTGCATTACCAGGTTGAGTTTGGACTAAAAGAGAATCATGTGATCCAGCCTGACTCAAAAAAATAGCAATGTTTTCTATTTAGTTGACCAATCTCAAGCCGAACAAAGCCCAAATTTGGCCGGAATCCCCAGCACAATGACTGAACTGAACACAACACAAACTACATACTAGTGCTCAACTTAACTAGCCACCTACTTTTGATTTTTGATTAAACACACACATATATGGATATATATAATCGAGCCAGCTAATTATCCAAGTCAATTGAAAATTGGACATCAGAACACAATTATTTTGTTAAAAACAATTCAAATATTCTTATAATATTAACAAAAAAATGCTGTTTAACAAATCTAATTAGGTTTAGGCTTCCTTTGGGATAGCTTTCTAAATACTTTTTAAAGTAGTATTTTAGCATAAAAAATTTTAGAGCTAAAAATTTATGTACTAAAATACTGCCTTAAAAAATAATAAAAAAGCTGTCCCAAACGAAACCTTAATGAACCAAGAAGCATCAGTTAAGTCATCAGCCACCAACTTTAAGTAGATCGACAAGTCTTAGTTGGTTTTCAGCTATAGTTCGAATTTTTGAATGCTAAATTGCTTTCGAAAAAGGCAATGTTTAAAAACTACACATCTATTATTGAAGATTAATCAAATCAAAATTACATGAATATTATTTATTTATTTATTTATTCCTTCATTATAACACAAAGGTTTATTAAACAGAAACTGGTGGAAACGAATACTGTTCGGAATCATAGGTAGCAGAATCACTTGTTGATCCAAATTCCGTAACATCACTCCTAAACTTACCAGATTGCATATTGGTTCTTGAGTATGTAGCCTGCTCATGAGGATTCTCACCAAAACCATAGCCTAGACTGTCTCTGAAACGATATGGATCTGGAACAAAGTCTGGGATGCTAATTTCTCCAGTAAGCATTTTCACCACACTTGACATTAAAGGCCTATGAGCTGGTGATGAATGTGCACATAGAATGGCCACCCTGATCATTCCCACAGCTTCAACCTGATTGTACTGGTTTTCCAGTCTCTTATCAACAAGAGACAGCAGGTCCTCTTTCTCTTTTGCAAGATGTGCCTGCCATGTTAAAATGATAATTTCATAAACCAGAGGATAAAGTATATTTATAAAGGGATAATAATACATAAAGAAAATACTCCGAATGTACGACTAATATGTACGAATGGCAGTTAAGAAAAGCCTACCACGTCTAGAAGGTGATATTGGTCTTCATTCATATAGCTCGAGACACACTTCCCAGTTATAATCTCCAATGCAACAATGCCGAAGCTGTAGACATCTGCCTTTTCTGTCAAATAGCCCCTTGTTGCATATTCAGGTGCCATATATCCACTGCCAAAAATAGACTAAAATTATGAACTGATGCAAAATGAAGTTTAAAAATATGAAATGATACAATGTGTACGTGATGACAGCCAACCATATAGGAAAGATAATAGGATATAACTTAAAAAAATGAAGATATTAAAAAAGCATGAACATGATATTTAAGAAATTACTAAATGAATTATAAAGTTGATTTTATTTGCAATAATATACTAAACAGATTTTGTGGCAGCAGTGACTAGGAGAATAAATTTAAATGAGAATTTGACTTTTAACCAAACACAATGGTGAAAAAGGATTCATGTAGCCGACCCCATATAGTGGGACAAAGGCTTGATGTTGTTGTTGTTGTTGTTGTAGTGACTAGGAGAATAAATGTTGCTTGCTCATAAGAAACTAGATAGGAAAGAGAAAAACCTCAATACATTGAGAAATGATGTAAACTATTATATGTTCAAAAGGTTAAGAATAGAAGAAGTGTTGAGACCATCATCATACTCATTAGCTTTATCCTAACTATTTAGAGTTAGCAATATAAATTCAACATATAAATTGTAGCAGCAAATCATTTTGAAAAACATTTATCCATATAATCTTAGTCCTACCCCTTTTCTTTCTAATACTTGAACATTAATTTTATCAATGCATTTTAGTAATCGAGTCATTAATAATAGTACACATTTTAAATATCTTGGGTCAATTGTTTAGAGTGATGGTGAAATAGATGGGAATATTATTAGTAGAATTAAAGTTGGATGGTTGAAGTGGAGGAATGTATCGGGCTTGTTGCGTGATAGAAAAGTCTATGCAACACTTAACTTAGTATTATGCTTCTCTTTTAATGGCCAACATTCAGCACCATAAAGCATTGCAGGTCTCACCACCATCTTATAGAATTTTCCCTTAAGATTGAGGGGGACTTTTCTATCGCACAATAAGCCCGTTGCATTCCTCCACTTCAACCATCCAACTTGAATTCTGCTGATAATATCCCCATCAATTTCATCATCACTCTGAACAATAGATCCAAGATTTCTAAAGCGTGCACTCTTATTAATGACTTGATCGCCCAAAGTCACAATCCCCCACTAGGTCTATTTCCACTAAAATTACACTTCATATATTCAATTTTAGATCACTGCCGTTGCCAGGTCCCAAGTCCTGGATGAGAAAAGTGGAGGGTTGCGTTAGATAGTCGTCAGCCAGCGTAAAACTTGTTGAATAATCATGATAAGTTTTGAAATATTAAGTTAGAGAAAATTTAGAGCAAATAATTAATTAAATTTAATGAAGTAATCTTTTATAGGCTTTAAATTTATTGTCATTGGAGTAAGGAGTAAAAGTGAAACATCATATTTTCTAAGTTCAAGGTAAATACTCATGTCTTTTAATTACAATAATGATATTTATTTCTCCAACACATGATACATCAAGTACTGTTATTATCTAATTGCTCAATGTTATTACATGATTTTTCTTCATTAAAGACAATTGACCATATTAAACTAAAAAACTTGAATTGAAATGATATAGAGAAGATAAATAATATGATTTATGTAGTATGCTTGTATGTGCATTTGGCTGATAGAGCACACCTCTTATAGTATTGGCTGGGGACGCAATGTACTCGTACACGTTAATGAAAAAGGTAAAAGGAAAATAAAATGGAAAATGAGTACCGTCAATGGTATAATTTTAAATGGTGGCTCCATCGACAGTTGTATTATTTATAAGAAAAGGATAATGATATGTCTAACGTTATGAATAATAATATATACATATTATTGAAAGTCTTGAAATGAAATTATTTTATGTTTGAAAAATTATCATGAATATTGTTCCAAATGCCTTGAGTTACTGTAGTTTAAAAATATGAATTACTCACTCCTACTATTGAAAAATAATTGCAAGTATAATTCAATTAACTAAAATGAGCAGAAGAGGTGAAAATGTGTATCATAGATGCAGGGCACCAAATGAAATACATTTAATTCATTTTATATCAGTTTCTATTTTTTTATGTTTTAGTGACTCTTTCAGTATATTGAAAATATATTTAGCAAATGAAAATTTAAATCACAGTCCGACCGTCTATTCCCGCTTATTAATTTGAGTCTCCGAGCGGTCGGGTTGTGATAAAAGTGGTATTAGAGCCCAAGGAGTATCTTAGAAATGTGAATCGTAATGAAAGAAACATATGAATGATTTATAAACTTATTTGAGAAGAATTTAAATATTTGATTAGATAATAGAATTAATTTATATATAAATATATCAGGTATGTGAATGATCAAGAGGAAGTAGCTGGTAAAAATATGGAAGGAGAACGACTACCACATGAAGCGACTGTGAACACCAATAACTTTACTCAGATGATGGCGACTATGACCCAAATACTTCAAGAATCAAGATCACAGCCTGGAGTAGTGGATAAATATCTAAAGTTGTTTCAGAACACGCGACCATTATTATTCAAAGGTAATAAAGGACCAATTGAGACAAAGAATTGGTTGCTTAGTGTATAGAAGATATTGGATAGCATGTCATGTCCTAATGAAAGGAAAGTGTCACTCGTTACATTTGTCTTGGACGGAGAAGCAAAAAGGTGGTGGAGAGTGTTGACCTCGTTTTTCGTACGAGAGCCTTCGAGGATCTTCGAACAATTTAATCGAACCTGGTCGAACCAAATTCAAGCTCGAGTCAACTCGAATCAAGTTGAATTAGGCCCGACTAAGTTTAATTAAACTCGATCGATGTCCGCGAACCTCGTCGAGAACAATTTGAGTTTAATCGGCATTAATCTCAGTCTAATTTTCATTGAATTAGTCTAGTCGAGCCGCATTGAGTCCGGATTCATTTGATTTGAGTCAGATTATGTTTAATTTGAGTTCAAATCTGACCCGATTCAGCCTGAGATAATTCAAATTCGCTTTTTGCTGAGTTCAAATTTGATACTCATATCAGGAATTCGATCGAGCGGTCCTGATTGAATGGGCAGTAGGCGTGGTCCTTTTCCCCTGATGATGGTGATATCTCGCGGGCAGAGCAGCGATACGAAGCAGATAACAGGCTTCATTCGCGTGTTTCGAAACACTGCTGCGATGGATCAAAGAAGGCGGGATTCCTCTTTCGGCGACGAGTTCCATTTACTCGAAACGATGCTCTCGGCTAAGGGATTGAATCCTTGGTCCTCTCCCTCTCACGCCCGAGATCTTCTCTCGCTCTCAGTCGCACTCTCTCGATTCCAAGAGGCGAACTCCCCCCTTTTTTCCTCTGTTTCGGACCGAACCAAGAGGGAACGCCTCTCCCTCTCGTGTCTCTCTCGCTCACGGAGGCCAGCCGACGCCGAGCTCCTCTCCTCCCGTCCTCAGCTCCACACACCCGACGACAGCCACCCGACCCACGCTGCACCTCAGAACTTAGTTCGTTAAAACTCCCTCGCCGAATAAAGAAAAGCGAGCGGAGGCCGGGGCCGAATTTTCGGAGACCACACGCACCCGACGCCGGCTTCCCCCTCCGACGCCGTTCAGTCCAGGCGGAGTCAGCCTCCCTCTCTCGTGTCTCTCTCGGCTTCGCACGATCCAGAGCCGAACTCCCTCCTTGCTCCCGCTCCAGAGATCGAACCCGAGCAAGGCTGAAGCCCGTCCGACTCTAGGTAGAGTCGGACCCCTTCGACGAACCGTCCCGACGCCTGGACCGAACTGAGCTCCATCCCTTTGCAAGGTAAGTCTATTCTCCTCTTCCCCTCTCCTTCTTTCTTCTTCTTTTCCTATCCTTCTTCATTGGTGAATGAAAGAAGAATATTGTGTAGTTTTCTTTTAAAAAAAAATCCGAGAATGAAATTGCTTTGAGTTGTTCTTTTAGCCCTTATGCTTATGTCTTTTTGATGAAGTGATTATCATGTGGATAGAAAAAAGAACTTTGATAAATTGTTTGGAGAATTTTAGTTGAGATTTAGGTGTGAACCATGATTCTTATGATAGCTTGTTTTACATAGCTTTACAACCTTTGCATATAAAGTGTTCGTTGAAATGCTCCCAAGAGAAGGCCATAAGTGTTTGCTTGTATTGAGACCTTGTGTAGTGAGCTTGCTCGTATAGAAGTTTCCTCAAAGCGTTTCTTAGAGGCTTGTCAAAAAATCTGAAAATGAATTTGGTAATTTAATGAGATTGTGATCTAATAGGTGTATATATCCTTTCAAGTGATGTTTTATTTTATGTAACTTTGCAAGCATCACACCTCAAGTGTTTAAAATTTCTTTTTGTGTCGTTTGGTTAGTGGTAACCCATGAGACTTAGACTCACATGGATTTTGTTGAGTAAATATTTTGTGAGCATGTTTGGTATAAAAGTTGCAGACTATCTTACTTCCATGTGGTTGTGACACTACACATGGCTATGTCAACTAAATTTACCTATAGTTCTCTTGACGCGATATGTTAAAATGTCTTTTGCGACGGTGATAAGTGGATTTGCAAATCGTAGCTCATGACGCATTGACCTCATAACTTCTTGTCTATTTAATCTTATTTGAAAGATTGCTTTCTTGTCATTGGTGTTTGATCAAATGCCCATTAGAAGTGGTGTAAGCTTTAACCATAGGAAATGTTATGAATGCTGAAATTTATACTTCTTTTGAGAGATCTATATGTTAAGAATTGATTTCATCTTGCCTTTGGACAATCTATCTGTTTGTGGAAATGTCAATAATAGGTTCTCAAACTTCTTTTGAGCATTGAGGTATCAATGTGCTGAAATTTGTCTTAAATTTCCCTCTTGGAAAGTTGGAGATGTGGAGACAAAGTTTTTCTTTAAGATATGCAAAGCCTGTTTGAGAAAATGAAATGACTCATTGTTAGCTGGCTTACACTCTAATGTTTATGTTTCAAATGTACCCAATTGTTGGAGAGCAACCATGAGTTTTATAGTTACATAATTTGTATTATTAGAAGCATGATTAACAATAAAAGAGTTAGTAAACTTAAATATCCTTATGTTTGCTTTAAG